AAATTATAGTAGTTTAAGTATGTTCTTCAAAATAAATAATCAGTTACATTAATGTTTTACAATAAAATAAATTGATACTAATTACAATTTAAGAATTTAATATGTATTAAATATTAATTATTAAACTTAATTCAACACAAAAATATGTAATATTATTGATTAAACTTAATAATTTTGATTATTGATAATACCACAGAATAAAAGATAATAATATTCATTATCCACTATCCACTATCACCAAATAACATAATCATTATCACTGTAAATAATGATAATTTTGACGAAATCACAATTTAGGATAGTAGTATCAGTACTATCACCTTAGATAATAGCAAGGTTTATCTATAAACCTTTAGACTACCACCACGATGTAGAGAAGATATCTTCTCTACATCGTGACTACCACAGAATAGGTATAATCATAGACAATAGACATATTGGTATTATCACAGAACAATAATATTATGTATTTTTTTTTCTTGCATATGGCGTAGGTTTATTGGTGAAAAGCAAAATTAAATAAACATAAAATAAAACTAAATAAACATTAAATTAGCAAAGTAACGAGTACTAGAGTAGATAGATTTACAATAAGCTAATAAATAAATTTAACGATAACAGAGATAATAATAATAAGAAGAGCTCATAGTATATTTAAAGGCGAACATTGGTCTTAGACCAGGAATGAAGTGAGATACTATGTAAAACAATAATATGTCTTATTAGATCCATATAAATCTGCGGTTTTATCAAAGAGCACGGTCTTAGAAGATATCTTCTAAGACCGTRTCAAAGAGTAATAAGAGGTTTTATCGCACATATGTTGGCGGCAATGTAAAACGGCTATCATTCCTATTATAATAATATGTTATGGCACGATCAGCCCCAGCCCCATGCAACTCACCTCATTTAACACAATAATAAATGTGCCGTTAATGTCCGGGACCCGGCCAGGTGGCGCGCTCTACTTGTCAAAGTTTGTAATTCATAAAAAAAAACTATGATGTGGAAACATAGCATATTTTAATTTATTATTATAGTTTAAAAGTTCTAAGAGGTACAAAATTTGGATAATTTTTTTTTTAGAATTTTCCTTTACTTTTTCTTGATTGGATTGCCTTGTATACTGTCTTAAACGCATATTTATATAATATTTTATTGTAAACGATATTACATAATCTTTATGTTCAGTACATGGAAAAGTGAAAGAACCATACTGAGTAATCAAACCATCAATAATATCATCAACAACTGTATTACTATTTACATGTTTCATGAATTCATCTTCAATAGCACTTATTAAGCTGTACAAATATGGGTTTG